TCAGAGTGCCAGCGACAGAAAACGTCTAATGCAGATCCGTAGGTGAACTTGGTAAAAAAACAAAACAAAACAAAAAACACAGTATTGGGGCACCTGGGTGGCTCAGTCGGTTAAGCATCCAACTCTTAACTTCAGCTCAGGTCATGATCCCATAGTCATGAGATCGAGCCCTGGGTTGGGCTCTGTGCTGGGCATGAAGCCTGCTTAAGACTCTCTTCCTGTCCCTCTGCCCCTCACCACCCTCTCTGAAATCCCCCCAACCCCACCCCAAACCCTACATTACTTATTGACTTAGTTATTTGTGTGTCCATCAAGCTCTTGGCTTGAACTCAGAAGAGACCCACCAGTATTTTCTCTAATCAGGTGTCTGTTCCCTGGCGGGTCCATTGCTGGCTGGTCACTTCCGCCGGGGGCCCCAGAGGAGCAGTAGAGATGATCCCACAGAATGGAATGAACAGATGTCTTTACAGCCACGTCCACAGAGATTTAATTCTAAGACCTCTGCAGACTATGCCGGTGCCAGTGCCCAGTGTAACCGCAGGGCGATGATAAAACACATCCCTCCCTCACCCTTGAGCTCCTCGGGCTGGAATGTATTCCGTATCCCGGGGCTAACACACGGGTAAAAAGTCTGTGGCCTTCTTCCTTACGTATTAAAAAAAGATAGATTCCTTAGGAAACCAGGCATTTGCTGATTTTTTTTTTCTCCTTGTTTTATTTTCAGGAAAAAATATATGGAAGAAGTCTGTACAAATCAACCCACTGAAGGTTATTTCACGCAATTTAATACAGGAAGTCGATAGTGAAAAAGACACGGTCCTTGTCTTCTGAATTGTTCATGCATAAAACGCAGCAGCCTTTTGAAGAGTCGCATTTATTACAAAGAAATACACCCCGTGTTTCAGGAGTGACTTTCGACTCCGCTTTTTCACGGCGGGCAAACCGTGTTAATCCCCTCCCCTGTGTGTGTACGAGGTTTCTGTTCAGCTCTGCCCCGAATGTGTGTTCCCGGAGCAGCCGTGGGGGCCGTACAGGGAAGGCATAGACGTGGCCCTGCCAGGACCATCCCAGAGAGAGTGGCATCCGAGGGGGCCTGTGTGTCACCGGCACCCCGGGTCCAGCTGCCGTGAAAGCTAACGGGAGCACTCACTATATGCAAGGCATTTAGAACAATTTGACCCTCGGGGCGGCTAGTGGCGGGTGGGTATCTTTATTACTCATCTGCTCTGGGAGAGGAGCCTGAGATACAGACATGTTAAGTGTCTTGCTCAAGGTCACGTGGACAGGCAGTGATGGGCCTGGGGTTGAAGCCGGGGCGTCCGGCTCTCCTGGTTCTGGTAACAGAGACCCCAAAACAAGAGTGGCTTCAGCAAAGCAGTTTACGTCTCGCTCCCGGAGCAGCCCTCTGTCACTTCTCTGCCAGCTCCCGTCCTGTGGTCCAGGGATGCTGCTCCGTGTCATTGGGCCACAAGGGAGCAAAGGGGGCAGTCCTGGCCCTCAAGGACGAGCCACAGACAACGTACACTTCACCTCCGTTCACATTGTATCGGCCAGAAACCGGCTCACGAACTGTGAGATCATGACCCGAGCTGAAATCAAGAGTCTGACGCTTAACCGACTGAGCCAGCCAGGTGCCCCAAATTTCCCCTTTTTGTAAGGGTACCGGTCGTATTGGATTAGGTCCCACCCCAGTGACCTTATCTTCACTAATTACATCTACAATAACCTTATTTCCAAATAAGGTCACGGCTGAAATACTAGAGGTGAGGACTCTAACATATCTTTCTGAGGGTGGAGGGCGGGGCACACAATTCAACCCGTAACGGGGAACGCAGGGGACACCTGGTCCCATTGCCTCCCAGGATGATCCAATTCGGAATGTTGCTGGCCAGCCTGAACAAGCCACACTTTGAGGGAGGAGGGTACGGGTGATGGAGGAGAGACGCCCCATCCAGATGGTCAGTCCTGCCGCGTTTGGGCAGGGAGATAAAGTGAGAAATGGGAGGTAATGTCTGTCCATCCGCTGCACACTGAGTGCTCTCCGAGGCCCTGTGCCAGGGTCCCCCACAGCCCGGCAGGGGTGCTGATGAAGGAGATCCTTGCAAAGGAGTACAGGGTGAGTCGTACAGGGGCCGGCGGGCACAGGCGAGTAAGGGAGAGAGAGAGCTCTTGGAGCCCACTGCAGCCATCAATAACACGTCGGTATGACTGGGATCATGGCCCTAGTGTGGAGAAGCTTGCTTTAAACGCTGAATTTTGCATCATTTTATGGAAAATATTCCAAGGGGAAGACCCGGTTTGGAAACCTTGGGCGCTTGTTTGCTTTGCGTGCACCCTCTGCTGGTGACCGGAAGTATGACACGTTCCCCGTGGTTCTCAAGTGGGCAAGTGACCCCAGTGATTGAAGGACCAGCCAGGCCAGGCGCCGGACAGGTTCCTGCCACAGCCCTGACACCTCCGGGTGTGGTGATCGACCTCCCGCCAGGAGAAAGCAGGAGAAGGGAGCTCAAGACTTGGCTCTGGCTGGAAGGCGGAGCCAGGGTCCAGGCGCCGGGCATCTTCATCACTGCTCTGAACGGCCCCGTACGGTTTTACACACACAGACACACACCCTCCGGAGGGTTTGGCTTTGCTTTGTCTCACTTTTCCTCAACATCTTATTATAAAAATTTTCGAACCTACGGAAGAAAACCAGAATTGTACAGTATACACCCAGGCACCACTACCTAGACCCTGCAGTTAGATTTTGCTCTACTTGCTTCCTTTATTATCTCCTCACAGACTGGCTTTAAAAATTCCAGTTAGAGGGGCGCCTGGGTGGCGCAGTCGGTTAAGCGTCCGACTTCAGCCAGGTCACGATCTCACGGTCCGTGAGTTCGAGCCCCGCGTCGGGCTCTGGGCTGACGGCTCGGAGCCTGGAGCCTGTTTCCGATTCTGTGTCTCCCTCTCTCTCTGCCCCTCCCCCGTTCATGCTCTGTCTCTCTCTGTCCCAAAAAAAAAAAAAAAAAAAAAAGTTCCAGTTAGAGGCACCTGGGGGGCTCAGTTGGTTAAGCGTGTGACTTCTGCTCAGGTCATAAGCTCACGGTTCGTGAGTTCGAGCCCTGCGTCGGGCTCTGTGCTGACAGCTCGGAGCCTGGATGGAGCCCGCTTCGGGTTCTGTCTCTCTCTCTCTCTCTCTCTCTCTGTGCCGTAGAGTGTCATCAGTGATCAAAAGAAACGAGCTATCAAGCCACCACAAGACGTGGAGGAAACTTTGGTGCACATTACCGGGTGAAAGAAGCCAATCCGAAAAGGCTACATAATGAGTGATTCTAACTATATGACATTCTGGAGAAGACAAAACCGGTAAAATGATCAGTGGTTGCCAGGGAGTCGCAGGGAGGGAGGAATGGGCGGGAGGAGCGCAGAGGATTTTGAGGGCAGTGAAACTACCCTGCATCATACCGTGATGCTGGATACAGGTCGTCATATATTTGTTCAGACCCATATAATGTACAGCTGTGGCCTAAATGAGCAACATACGTTTGTGGAAGGAGTAAAGAGCGGGCCGTGCTCCAGTTCGTGGCTTCCCCTCACTTCCTGTATCATCAGCGATGCCGCGTGCCCGCGCCACCTGTTGCCAAGCACACTACCAAGTGCCAAGTGCGTTCCTTCCGCACACCTCAGTTCTTCGCGACGGTTCTCACCAGTCGGGATTATTGCTCCCATTTGCCGCAGATGAAGTCACTGAGGTGGAGAATTTCTGCTTCCAACGCAGTGATCCATATGGCGGGTCGAGCGTCCGTCCCGGAAATATTTGTCCGCCACAACTCCACTAGATCTTGGATTAATTACAGCAGCGATTTTTGTCTGCATTGCTGAACACACAAGGGAGTAAATGAAACCGTGAAAGTCATTCATACGCATAAGAATGAACGGTGGATTGAGACCAGAACAGTGAACGTTAATAAGGAATAGAAACTGGGGCTGCCCTGGTGGCAAAGGATGATAACAGGAATCCAGAGTTTGGGGGGTTAATAATTAGGAGAAAAATAAGAGGCCCTCATGAAGGGGGAGTATCAAAAACTGAGACCTCTGCACTAATCTGGGACCTTAGAAGGTGGCTATGCCCTTGATAAAAGGGAGGGATAGAAAGAGACTGTGGAAAGCAATGAGTCTTCACCCTGGTTATGGGATAATGATGATGGTGGTGGTGATGCTGATGGTGATGGCAATGATGGTGACGTTGATGGTGATGGGGATGATAGTGATGATGATATGATGGTGGTGATGATGGTGATGGGGATGGTGGTGATGGGATGATGGGGATGATGGTGACGTTGATGGTGATGGGGATGATAGTGATGATGATATGATAGTGGTGATGATGGTGATGGGGATGGTGGTGATGGGGATGATGGGGATGATGGTGACGTTGATGGTGATGGGGATGATGATGATGGTGATGCTGATGGTGGGGATGGGGATGGGGATGATGGTGATGATGATATGACGGTGGTGATGGTAGTGATAATGGTGATGACGATGGGGATGATGATGATGGCAGTGATGAGGTTGATGATTGCAGTCCTTGAGAATTCACACCCATATGCCCACTCTTGTATAGCTCCAGAGTTTCCGTTTTTCAAAGAGGTGAGAGAAATCCCCAGCAGAAAAATTAAACCTAAGTGTTCTCAGATTAATTTTACCTCCATGGAACCTAGTAGGGGCTAACATAAATAATCTCAGGACAAAAGCAGTCCCAATTTAGACTCCTCAGGGTTCTCCCAGATTAAATTCAACCAAAGACAAGCTCTCACAAACACAAAACATGCAAGCAAGGAAGTCACCATGAGTAACTATCTGTAGAAACCACCATTCAGATTTGGATCTCCCTAGGACTTTAGACAATGAAATTATCGAATATAGGTATTTTTATTTATTTATTTTAACATTTATTCATTTTTGAGAGAGAGACAGAGTGCGATTTGCAGGGGGAGGGGGGGAGGGTAGAGAGAGACAGAAACAC